CTCTAATGCGCGGATTATCTATGTTTTAAGTATGGCCAGGTTAATGCAGTAATTTTTAACAGTAATTACAACAGTATAAGCAAACATTAATTTAGTAATATAGTGGTTATGAAAAAGCAATGTTATAGATGATGTTAAACAAATTACGGCCTAAAAAACCTGGTTGACGCCTAGTGTGCCGTGAATTCCCTCGAAGGAAATGGTGAAAATGCCTTTTTGAGACGCCGCATAGGTGTAGGCGATGTGATGCTCTGCAACCGCAAGATTCAGGTCTTTAGGCAGAGTTGAGTTACTGACATACCATGGATAGTCGCTGATCAAGCGCAATGTTTTTTTGCATGATTTGCACTCTTTCGTTGGGTCTGGGCAGCAGTTTCCAAGATCGGAATGCCGTGCATCCATACGGGAGCAACAATGCAACTTAGCCATTTCAAACTGAATATTTTGATACGGCAACTATTAACCACTGACTTGATGTGAGATATGAAAGTTAGCCTCTACTCAAAGGGCAACCCTAAATATTTCACTTTGTTGGCATGTGGAACGGTATAGCCAGTGAGCTGTCCCTCATTTATCCTCCGATTAAAGCACACGTTAGTTCATTTGGAGGTATTTATTTCAATATTCCACATTTTAGCCCAGTTGTCTAGAAGGTGAAGGTACTCCTGGATACCATCTGCAGTTTCGTACTCGCAACAGAAGCTGAAAAAGATTCCGACATCATCAGCGTAGGTAACCATCAGTTTGCCCGGATCAATGCACCACTTGTTCACGTCAGGGACCGGTATGTATGCTGTAAAGCAGAGAGAAGCGAGAACGGAATAGGAGTGAGTACACTGCCTTGAGGTACTTCTGCCAGAACGGGATATATGACGGATAATCCCGTTCGCGCTTTGACATTGAAGGATCGTTCGATCGAGGGAAGGCGACAGTTTACCTTGACCAGGAGACCCAGCAGCTTCATTTGCCCAAATTATGCTCTATGTCAATGAAAACTGCATTGCAATACTATTTTGCGTCAAACACCTGAAAAATGTAGTTCGAAAGCCGGCGTGCTCGTTCGTTAGTGCTGTTATTCAGGAATGTTGCTGTTGTTATTCAAAAATGAGTCCACGGGATGCCACGACAAGAATCATCTTAGATGCGACCAGTCGTTCCCAAACCATCGCGATAGACGGCAGGACACTGATCGGCCGATAGGACGCAGGTAGGCCTTATGGTTTCTCCTGCTACTGTACTTTGGTAGCTGAGATGCACCTCCAAAAATGCACGTTTCGATTTCGGTCAAGTCGTTTTGTGGTCAAACGGCTTCACCCTGCGCTACAGACTCGTAAATTTTGCTTACTCACGTTGATAAATATTTCTACACAAAGTAACAGAAAAAAACTACACAAAAAAAAAAAAAAAAAACTGCATGGAATCCCTGATTCTGATATTCTAAAAAATTGTGTTGCCAGTCTGCAGCGCGACGACGTGTCGCCGTGTTAATATTCTGACTAGACCGGCATTGTTTTCAACTGTCTACTTGGCTGAATTATTTCTATTTTATCCAGGTAATTAAGATTATCTGTTGATGTTCGGAAGTCATTCTGACGCCATCCCTGGAGTAGTTGTTTTATGAGCTTATGAGTTTTGTCCTCACTATATTTAGCATAATTTGCCGTGAGCGCATAGCGATCGTAGCTCACTTATCCTTCTGCGCAAGGGCCATGGCCTGTTCGAAAAGTTTTTGGTTGGGCTGGGAAGATCATAATCCTAACGGATTTCTTGAGTCCAGAGACGAATGTTTGCAGAGCTTCATCTTTTTATTTTTCATTTAAGACGTGCTTTGTTGTTTATGATTGAAGCTGCCTGATAATTATACGAACTTCCATAGCATAGCTTGAAAATATCGTAGGCGTCAATTCTTGTCTTTCGCCAAGAGGATATAGTGTTCTTGTTTGCCGGCCAATTACGGGATATATTTTGTAGTAAAATATAGATTTATAGATTTAAATATAGATTAAATGTAACTGAATTTATGTAATATGTAATTGTTTCTAATTCTTCTTTAACAGTTGATGTGTTTTGTGTGATAGCTGCTAATTCAGCCTGAAAATTGTTATTATGTTATACAATTAACAAAGCCGAAATTTGGTGGATTTTAAAGACAAATTATGCGTTTTAGTGCGTATCGCTTTGATTTAATTTGACGACAGACTTGCATAACGCTAAGGTGGAGAAGCGAGGCAAATTCGCTTCCAAAGCGAGTGATTAAACTTTATTGCGCTCTCCTAATTTACGGTTGAAGTCCATGTTCAAGTCCATGACCATGTTCCTTATGGCTGCATTCGCTGCTGCTTCTACTTCATTTATCTCTGCTCACTACTACTAGAACCAGATCATCTGCAAATGATTCTGCATCCCTGGGGCTTTCTAACATATATTTGTTATGTAAATATGCGTGTTTCACCGGCCTAAAAAGATTTCATACTCTAACCAACAAATAGCAATTTTGGACGGGTCAAACGCTTTAATAATTTCACAAAACTGATCACTCGAATGAGAAGACATACTATCAGTACTCTCATTAATATCATATCACCTAAATAAATGTTTGTATGGGTGTGCGTGTGCACAAGAAGCAGGGTACATATGTGATCTTGTTCGCGATTTTTCGAAAAACGGATGTGCAGAAATTCGAGTTGGAATTTTTTTTATTTTAAGCAAATTAATTCTTCATTTAGGTAATTAAAGTTTTTCTTAAATAAAAATAAATCAGATTCTTCTCATTATGCCTGGCTGGAAGAAAAATTGTCTGGGTCGCGACAAAGACCTTATGTACTTGTACGCGCATCCACTCAACACAAACATACATATGTATGTTTGTAGAATGCGGAGATTTTTGAATGCAGGGATAATGAGATGCACACAAGCACACAAGATGCTCAAATCAATGAGTGAGAGCCAGGCGCACTATGCACATGCATATATACTTATGAATATATTTGGGCTGTTAGGATTTAAAACTAGCATATATTAAGAAAAAGCATCACCCGTAGCGACGTTGTGCGCTGAGCGAGACGCAACTTCATTCTGACCGTTCGGCTCTCGAGGCCAGCATTCAGCTGTCCCTCTCAGCAGTCTTACTCTCTTCGGGCACAACAAATGGTCACAAGCACTCATGGGGCTCACTTGTATCAACTTTTCATGTTTCTATCATTTTGATGTATGGCTTGTCTGAACTAGGCACCTTTAACGGTTTTAAAAGCTATAAGTAAAAACGCGATAAATAAATACGCAAGAAAATTGTTTCAACTTAAAGTTAAAGTCAAAGAATTCCCAGGTATTTTTGACAAACCTGATAGCTAGAAAGAAGCCATTACCAAAGACAATATAAACACTAAGATAAGTAACGTCCATATATTTGAATGGAACGCAAAATTTCTGGCCTGGCCTTTCATCTAGCCTTTGAGGCTTCGTACGGCATGCCTGCTGACTGGTAGTTCGATCTCCAAAGACCAGACGAACGAATGCCGAAGTCGCGGCTTGCTGATGCTGACACGAGCTACGAAGTTAGTCGCCAGCCTGCCTTCAGCAAAGCTAGTCGATGCTGCTTTGCGTCGCTTCGTTTTCGAAGTACATTGAGCGAAAAAGCTTAGAGCTAACGATCGACGCAAAGTGCGTGTGCTTTATCCATGAAATGCATCCTTTAATTAAATGATGTATTACCCTAGATATTAACGATTAATTTTACAGGAAAATTTGAGAACTTATATAATTTTTACACAAGGCGCTTCTTGCGCAATAACTATGTTAAGAAAATAGCACACATAGATTAATTTCACTTTTCTTTTTGGACAGTGTATGCTCGAGAAAATTTCTTGTCTCAGCCAATAGCGTGAGTGCACCTTTCGTTGTATGCGTGAATAATACATGCATAAGATCTTTAAAGCATGTATGTATGTGTTGTAATTCACTGCTCTGGCTTTAGCTAACAAAAAATTAATTTTGTTAGTTTTCTACCGCAGATCATGACCTATCCCAAATTTTGATATATGAATGCATTTCGTGTACTGAGTTGGCTCCGCAGAAAATATGTATTTCTAAGTCGATGCAAATATTTACATTATTTTATTATATTAAATTAATATTATTTTAATTCTCCAATTAAGAAATAAAAGAGTGATAAAAAATACAGTTACATTTCAAGTCGACTCGAAGGTCATATTTTGTTATGATCCTATTATAATTATAATAGCCTCCTCGCGGTGTTTCCTGCGTTCTTTGTTCTTTATAATTCGAACAAAAAATAATAAAATAAAAAGAAGTAAAAATTAATTAAATGTATCTTTGAAAACAACAAATTTGCACTTTCATTTCCTTAATTTTTTTTGTATTACTTAAAACTAATAATAATTTAATTAATAATTTCAAATATAAAAAATTACATAAATATTTGCATCGACTTAAAAATACAATTTTTTTTTGTACGGAGCCAACCTCAGTACACGAAATGCATTCATATATCACAGAAATTTTGGGTAGGTTGTGAACTGCGCTAAAAAACTAAGAAAATTGTTTCCTTGCTAGCCAGAGACTTTGCCAGAGCGGTGGATAACAACACATTCAAATATGCTCTTATGTATGTAAGTTAACAACTAAACATATAAGATACACTCTCACAGTCATACATTGTTATTTCTAAGTACGCAACACACAATCATAAGTATTTGGTTGCCCTCAGCAACAAAGTAGTATTCTTGTAAACAATGCTGACCCGCTGCCAAGAGTTCTGCGCACAGCAACTGAAAACGGACACCCGTGCTGCTTGCGCAAGATTGCTGAGTCGGCATGCCGACTCTAGCGTATGGCGTGATGCATTGGCATCACAGGGCAAACTTAAGCTTGAACATTTCTGTAGCCGTCAGTCTCAATCTAGATCGCAACATTATATGACGAGTGATTGATAAAGCTCCGGCATTGCCGTCAATAAACATTATTTGTGTTATCAATCATAGTTGACCACGTCCAAGACGGACAACTGGAAAAGTTCCCTCAACCTAATCACATCGTTCCAATAGTCACCTGTTGAATTCATCACCACCTCACAAGGAGAAGAATCACCTGTTGGATTCATCACCACCTCACAAGGAGAAGAATCACCTGTTGAATTCATCACCACCTCACAAAGAGAAGAAGTCACCACCGTCCGACCAACCACACATCGTCGCCAGACAACGAAGTTACGACGGAAGACATAATTGGCGCCCAACCAATAAATAGGAACCCAAACCATGTAAGTTCATAAGTGATTTCAGTTTTGAAGAAATTATTTACGAACGCCACGTACCGATACGTGTGATTTTTATAAAAAAAAAAAAAGTGTAAAGTAAAGTAAATATTGCTGCTTTCTTCTGACAGCACTTCATTCCTTTAAATCATTGCATACTTTTATAAAATTGTTGCATACTTTTACTAAAAATTGTTGCACACTTTTACCAGCGTTCCTTGTCAATAAAGCACTGCATACCTTAAACGAATAATTATTGCATACTTTCGGCAGCATCATATTTTTTGCTGCATACCCTTAACAATTTTTTATAATAAATATTGCATACCCCAAGATAAACCAGTTTCCGTTATTGCCAACAGTTTTACCTGCCGATCTTTCTCGATCGGCCTAAGTTTTGAAAAGTGCCAACCATAAGCCAATGATTCAATTTGGATTTGGATTTCGCAAGCAGCATGGCACTCCAGAACAGCTGCATAGAGTTGTCAACTATGCGCTAGAGGCCATAGAGAAGAAAGAGTATGCGGTCGCTGTCTTCCTGGACATACAGCAAGCTTTCGACAGGGTGTGGCACCCAGGACTTCTTTACAAAGCCAAGAGACTCTTAACCCCCCAGCTGTTCCAGGTTATAAAGAGCTTCTTAGAAGGGCGCACATTCCGAGTGGCTGACGATGGGTGCAAGTCCTCCATTAAATCAATCGAGGCTGGCGTTCCCCAGGGCAGTGTTCTAGGCCCCACACTGTACTCGATATTTTCAGCGGATATACCAAACCATATGGCAATCACCTCAGTCGACAAAAGCGATACGCTAATAGCGACCTACGCCGACGACACTGCGGTGCTCACAAAAAGCAGTTGCATACTACTAGCCAAAAGTGCACTGCAGGAGTTTTTGGACGCATTCCAGGAATGGGCATCGAAATGGAATGTGTGCATAAACGCAGGTAAATGTGCAAACGTGACTTTCACAAATCGAGTGCAAAACTGCCCAGTCGTATCACTTAATGGAAGAGTACTGGATCATTCACTTGCGCACAGGTACTTAGGTGTCATCCTAGCCAGAAGCCTTACCTTCGAAAGACATGTCACGTCACTGCAGCAACAATATAGAGCCAAATTAAACAAGATGTCCTGGTTACTCTCCGCCAAAAACAAATTGTCGCTGGAGAACAAGGTCAAAATATACAAGTGCATTTTAGCTGCCAGCCTATTCTATGCCATACAGGTGTACGGTATTACTGCCAAGTCGCACCTGAATAAGATCCGTGTGCTACAAGCTAAGACCTTGAGGATGATCTCTGGGTCTCCATGGTACATAAGGACACGTAACATTGAGCGCGACCTTAAGCTGCCCAAAATAGGTGACAGAATTCAAGTGATTGCCCAAAAATACACGGAGAGGCTAGGAGCTCATCCAAACAGTTTAGCTAGACGCCTAAATACTGCCTGTAACCGTACAAGAGTAAGGAGGAGACTCAAACGCCATCACCCTCAAGATCTCCTGAACCGGATCTTGACATAAATATCTCATACTAAAATTTAGACGATCTCCCCAGTATCACCCCTTAACCCTCCCCCCTATAAGCTATCTTTAATTCATTGTTATGGTCTATCATAAATTATTTTGTTATTTTTAGTTTAAATTTCTGATTAGTTTAAGTTGCCTTGCAAGGTAGCAGCACACTTATCTCGTTAAATAAATTTCATTATTATCTTAAAAAATAAAAAAAAAAATAAAAATAAAAAAAAAAAAAATAAGCCAATGAGTTGGAATTATAGGGAGGTAAAAGTTGAATATAATAGTGACGATAGCTGGGAGGGGGAAATCAATTGCTCAGTAGATCCTACTTCTGCAGATACCGTCGTAACTGAAGAAATGGAGCCGGCTCAAGTTCAGACTCTCATTGAGGGTGCCATCAGGCAAGCTTTAGCGCAACAACAAAATCAGTTTCAAGCACAAATAACCGCTTTAGCTTCAGGGTTTGCAGGTGGAGGCGCCGCAAATCGTCACATACGAGAAAATATCCGTCGATCCTAACGCCGAATGCGATATTCCCTTGGACATTATTAAATCTGTGCCGGATTTCTCCGGCGTACAGGATGAGTATGTAGCGTGGAGGCAAGCAGCCATCTACGCATACGAACTATTCAAGAACTATCCAAAGAGCACTGCACGCTACCAAGCGGTAGCGATCATTAGGAACAAAATCAAAGGCCCACCTGGAGCCTTACTAGTGTCTCACAACACTGTCCTAAATTTCGATGCAATACTAGCTAGGCTAGATTGCACATACTCGGATAAAACATCCTTGCGCTCGTTGAGACAATGTTTGGAGTAAGTTACGCAGGGCGAAATGTCCCTGATGCAATACTACGATGACGTCGAAAAGAAACTCACTCTCGTAACTAACAAAATTGTAATGTCTCACGACCAAGAAGGCACCGATTTGCTCAACCGGGAGGTCAGAGACGACGCCTTGCACGCCTTTATCTCCGGTCTCAGAAAGCCGTTGAGAGCGGTTGTGTTCCCTGCACAACCAAAAGATCTACCATCCGCACTGGCCCTTGCCAGAGAGGCAGAAGCTAGCATTGAGAGAAGCATGTTCGCGAACTCTTACGCTAAAGCCTTGCAAGACCGAGCGCAAATCGCTGAAAGTAGCAAAAACCGTGCCCAAGGCAAACAAACCAGATTTAACAAAGATGAGCAAAATCAGGAGAGAAATCCCCATTTTGTGAAACGCCAAAAGGGCGGTCCCCAGCCCCAGGCCCCTAAAGACAATCAAACCACAGCCCATGGAAGTTGACTCTTTCTCCAGATTTAGACAAAAAACCGACTACAGCAAGCGTCAGGCTAATGAGTCCAACGCACCAAAACGCAAGAATTCGTCAGACCGCTCAACAGGTCAAAGACGACAACGCGTTAACAATGTCGTACAATCAGATTCCAAAGAAGCCGTAACAGAATTTGAGAAGGCGGCCAAAGAGGCAGTTGAAGAACTAGAGAGTGAGAACGAGTACGCACCTGGTGACGACTCGATTAATTCTTTAGGGAACACTCCCGGCTTCCGTACATTGAACGACGGTTGGCTGGGAGAACTCTGAAGATGTTGATTGACACTGGCGCGGCAAAAAATTATGTGGAGCCCTTAACAGAGCTAAAGACCATAACGCCGGTCGCCAAGTCATTCTCGGTAAACTCGATCCACGGGTCTACCGAAATCAAGCGCAAATGCTTGATGAATATTTTCCAACATACCTCCCCGTTTTTTTTCCTCGATACCCTAAGTTCTTTCAACGCCATCATAGCCTTCGACTTGCTAACACAAGCCGGAGTCAAATTGAACTTGGCAAAAAACACTCTGGAATACCAGAGTACATCCGAAAACTCCAGTACTATCAATGTGCTGATGTGAACTTCACCGATGTCAACGACATCGTAGTTCCCCCTTCCGTAAAGAAAGAGTTCAGGGACATGATACTCAGAAACAAAAGAGCCTTCTCAAATGCAGATGAAGCTCTCCCTTTTAATACTGCTGTCATCGCTACAATCCGAACAGTAGACAACGAGCCTGTGTATTCAAGATACCCGAGTCTCATGGGTGTTTCTGACTTCATAAACAAAGAAGTCAAACAATTACTGGACGATGGCATAATCAGGCCCTCCAGATCGCCTTACAACAGCCCAACACGGGTGGTTGATAAAAAAGGCACTGACTCATACGGTAACCCAAAAAAAAGGTTGGTAAAAAAATTAATTTAATGAAGTTCAACGCGATGCATTTCACCGTCTGCGGAGTATTTTGGCATCAGAAGATGTCATGTTAATGTATCCAGACTTCCAGAAATCGTTCGATTTAACCACAGATGCTTCGGCCAGTGGAATTGGCGCGGTTCTTTCCCAAGGCAATAGGCCAATAACAATGATTTCTCGCGCCTTAAAACAGGCCGAACAAAACTATGCCACTAACGAAAGAGAATTGCTGGCCATTGTGTGGGCTTAAGGCAGACTGCAGAACTTTCTGTACGGTTCTAGGGAAATTAACATTTTCACGGACCACCATCCGCTCACGTTCGCTGTGTCGGACAAGAACACGAATTCCAAGATTAAAAGATGGAAATCTTACATTGACCAGCACAATGCCAAAATGTTTTATAAACCGGGCAAAGAGAATCTGGTGGCGGACGCCCTTTCAAGGCAAAACATTAATGCTTTGCAAGATGGGCCCCGTTCGGACGCTGCAACCGTTCACAGCGAACTTTCCCTGACCTACACGGTCGAGACAACAGACAAACCTTTGAATTGCTTTAGGAACCAGATTGTCCTAGAGGAATCGCGTTTTCCGCTAAAGCGAAACTTGTTGCTGTTTCGCAGCAAAACACTGAACTCTGGAGTCGTTAATGTAATACATTGCGATCTTCCCACGTTGGCAAGTTTCCAACACGACCTGATTTTGCATTTCCCTGTCACCCAATTCTGGCATTGCAAAAATCTTGTGCAAGATATAACGGACAAAAACGAGCATTTAGAAATCATCACTGCCGAGCACAATCGAGCGCACAGAGCAGCTCAGGAAAACATTAAACAAGTACTTCGTGACTATTATTTTCCCAATATGGCCAGTCTGGCCAAAGAAGTGGTTGCAAACTGCAGGCTCTGCACTAAAGCCAAGTACGATAGGCACCCGAAGAAACAAAAACTCGGGGAAACGCCTATACCAAGTTATACTGGCGAAATGTTGCATATTGAGATTTTCTCGACAGACAAGAAACAGTTCTTGACTTGCATAGACAAATTCTCCAAATTTGCAGTCGTCCAACCGATATTATCCAGAACGATAATCAATGTCACAAGCCCTCTACTGCAAATTGTTAACCTTTTCCCCGCAACCAAGACAATTTATTGCTATAACGAGGCGGCCTTCAATTCCGAGACCATCACCTCGATGCTCCACAGCACCTGAAACGGCCAGGTGGAGCGCTTTCATAGCACCCTGACCGAAATTGCGAGATGCCTCAAGTTAGACAAGAAAATCAGTGACACTACAGAATTAATCTTGAAGGCTACGATAGAGTACAACAAAAGATTGCACTCAGTAACCCGCGAGAAACCAATTGAGGTCGTCCATGCCGCAGCTTATGATCGTCGCGAGAACGTCAAAGACAGGCTAATTAAGGCACAGCAAAACAATATCAAAAGGTGCAATGCATCCAGGCAAAACCGCGTTTTCGAGGTAAGAGAAAAGGTGTTCCAGAAGAACAACAAGAGGCTAGGGAACAAGTTAACTCCCTTATGCTCAGAACAAAAGGTCGAAGCAGACCTGGGAACGTCTGTCCTCATTAAGGGGAGGGTGGTCCATAAGGACAACCTGAAATAAGTTTTCCTCCACAATTAGCTCTTAAGCCAACTTAGAGTTAGAACACCGTCTTATATTGTTCGTCCATTTCAGGTTTGCACTCACTTTGCTTGTGGCACTAGCAGCGGTAAATGCTCGGATCACCGACTTCTCGCATGCCAACTACATTCCGGTCTTAGACGGGGAAGTACTGGTGTTCGACCAACGTAGCTACTTGAGGCACTCAAGTAACACTTCTGAATTTGTTAGTATGGTAGACGAGACGGAAAAACTGTCCGATTCCTTTCCACAGTCGCATATGCGCAAACTACTAGACGTAGATACAGATCACCTTAGAACATTGTTGGCCGTTCTTCAAGTGCATCACAGATTTGCACGAAGCCTCGATTTCTTAGGCACTGCCTTGAAGGTTGTTGCTGGCACCCCTGATGCTTCAGATTTCCTAAGGGTCCGCGCTAAAGAGACGCAGTTGGTGGAGGCTAACTCCAAACAGATACTAATAAACTCCGAACCTCAAAAACAAATAAACAGACTGACGGACACTATCAATAATATTATCAGTTCCCGTAAAGGCGATTTGGTTGACACTCCTCATTTATTCGAGACACTGTTGGCAAGAAATAGAATACTGAACACAGAAATTCAAAATTTAATACTCACCATAACGTTGGCAAAAGCAAACATAGTAAATCCTACAATCCTTGATCATACCGATCTGAAATCACTTATCGAACAAGATACCCCAATAGTTAGCTTAATAGAAGCTTCTAAGATCAAGGTCCTTCACTCCGAGAATATTATCCACATATTAATAGCCTACCCTAAAGTTGAATTTAGGTGCCAAAAGGTCTCCGTCTACCCCGTTTCACACTAACAAACCATTCTCGATGAAGACACGTTGGCGGAATGCGAAAAGGAAACCTTTGCAGTTACTAGATACACCGTAACTACGCATAACACCTTCTGCGAACGAGCACGGCGCGAAACCTGTGCTAGCTCCCTTCACGCGGGAAACATCGCCAACTGCCACACTCAACCTAGCCACCTGAAAGCGATAATGCCTGTAGACGACGGCGTCGTGGTTATCAACGAAGCGACAGCGCGCGTCCGAACAGATGATGGCGCAGAGGTAACCGCGTCAGGAACCTTCCTGATAACTTTCGAACGGTCTGCAACTATCAATGGCACAGAATTTGTAAACTTGCGCAAATCACCAAGCAAGCAGCCTGGCACCGTGAGGTCACCGCTCCTAAACATCATCGGACATGACCCGGCACTAAGCATACCACTCCTGCATCGTATGAACATCAACATTTTGTAATCAATTCGAGATTTTAAGGAGGAGG